AGATCAATAACATTGACAAGGCTTTAGCAGCACTGACCAGAAAGAATACACAAATTATTGCTATTAGGAAAGAAGTGGGAGCTCACTATGACCTTAAACTATACACACAAACCTGACAACTTAGATGAAATAAACCAATTCTTTGGAAAATACAAAGTACTACAGTTTACCCAGTATTAAAAAGACAATTTAAAGATCTGTATCAAGGGAATTTAATTCTTCATCCTAAAACTCCAAAAAGAGAAATTTCCAGGCTCCTAGAGTTTTTTGTTTTTTGGGTTTTTTTTTTTTTTTTTGGTACCAAGAATCGAACTCAGGACCTCGTGCTTGCCAGGCAGGCGCTGTGCCACTGAGATATATCCCTGGCCCCTAGGCTCCTAGAGTTTAAATGAGGAGCTCTATCACATCTTTTAAAAGTAAGAATTCACCACTTCTCTTCTAGAAAATAGAAGAACACCTGCTAATGTGTTTGAGGCAGCTAAAATTGCATTGATACCCAAACCAAATAAACATGGCACAAAGATAGAAAATCATAGACCAATACACAAAAATTTAACAAATACAATAGAATTCAGCAATATAAAGTAATTATGTATTTTCATGCATGTAACACCATGACTAGGTGGTGTTATTCCTGGCATGAAGGCCAGTAAACGTTTCAAAAAGCAGTTAACCTAGTCCACCAAATTAACAGGTCGAAGAAGAAGAATCACATAATCATATCAATTGATGCAGCAAAAGCCCTTGACAGAGTTCCATATCCAATCATGATAAAAATTGTAAAAATAGAAATAAAGGAGAAACTTTGTCAACTGGATAAAGAACATCTGCAAAATATGTATAGTTGATATAATACTGAATTGTGAAAACTAAGTGCTTTTCCTCCAAGCCTGGGAACAAGACAAGGAGACCTGCTCTTACCTCTCTTGTTCAACAGAATGTTGGATGCTGTAGTGAGTAGGGTAAGGCAAGAAAAGGAAATGAAGAGGCACACAGAGAGGAAAGAAAAAAGTGAGACTGTCCTGTGAATAGTAAAAGAAAAAAGAAAAGAAAAGACAAGAAAAACTCTCCAACTTAGATTCACTTTCTCCTACTACACACTCAGGAGGCATCATTGCTTCCAAACCCAAAGGTCTGGGGACTTCTTCCCAACAGCAAGTAACCAGTTCCGCAGCAGACACTGGCCAAGTATCTTCTAATCTAGTTCACCTCTGACGCTATCTACCTGGAGATAGCATCAGATCCCACAGGCTGAGGGCTCAGTCCCCAAGACTGTCCTCCCACACGCATACCTCAGATGCCAATCGCAAAGCCCGGGTTGTTTTTCCTGTACTTCTGACCTGCTGGCTAGGAATCAGGGTTCCCACAAGCCCTGTCTCTGGTTAAGTCAATTTGCCTGAGCAGTCTACAGAACTCAGGGAGACACTTCGCTTATCAGTTTGTTAGACAGGATAACACGAGGGCACCGATGAGGTGCAGAGGGTGAGGTATCGGGAAGGGGTGTGGAGCTTCCATGCCCTCTGGACCGTGACCCTGCAGAAACCTCCCTGGGTTCAGCTATCTGGAAGCTCTCTGAACCCCATCCTTCTGGGTTTTTATGGTCATCTAGTGCTAATAGACTGGGTAGAGAAACCCAGCAGGCCTTCTTGGCCTCTCTGGGCGGCATTTCTGCCTCGTACTCAGACCCCTTCTGAAATGAGGGTCTTATCACCTAGAAATTCTAGTTTGTGTGGCCTGCCTTGGGAGAAAAAGGAGCAGGTGGAAAGAGAGGAGAGGGAAAGAGAGAAAAAGAGGGAGAGAGAGAAAAAGAAGAGGAAAGAGAAAAAGAAGGAAGTGAAGAGAGGAGAGAGACAGAGAAAGAGATAGAAAGAGATCGACTGATTGACTTTGTTTTCTGAGGCCTAAAGCACCCCAGCATTATTCTAGCCACTTAGGAGTAACAAAGCCGATGGCAGTAATAAGCAGAGGAACTATTAGATGAAAGTAAAAATATATCATAATATCACACCCTGTCTGCAGATTACATGATTATGTACATAGAAAAGCCCAGTGAAGGCTAGGCGTGGTGGTGCGCACCTATAGTCCAGCTACTCAGGAGGCTGAAGCAGGACTATCACAAGTTCAAGGGCAGCCTGGACAATTTAGTGCCTTGCAAGACTCTACTGCAAAATAAAAAATAAAAGGAGCTGGGGATGTAGCCCATTGGTAAAGCACTTGCCTAACTTGCATGAGGCCCTAGATTCAATCCCTATACCATAAAAAAAGGAAAGAAAAAGGAAGGAGGGAAGGGAAAAAAGCAAGCCAGTCAACCAGTTTCCAGGCATTTACCAAGAAACCTCCTGGAACTAATAAGTGAGTTTGTCAAGATTACAGGACATAAGATAAACTTTCAAAACTCAATTATGTTTCCCTACGCCAACAAACACAAGTACACTAAAATTTAAAAAGCAACAACATACAAAATGTCTCAAAAAATTGAAATATTTAGGTATAAATCTAAAAAAAGACACAGAATTTGAATACTGAAAACTATAATACTGATGGGGAAAAGTGAATGAATTTTTTATTGATACAACAACCTAGATGAATCTCCAGAGAATTTTGCTGAGTGGAAAAAGCCAGTCTCTTAAGATTCCACACTATATGGTTCCATTTCTATTTATATAACATTGCTGAAATTTTTAAAATATAGAAATAGAGAATGGAATGGCTGTTTGCCGGAGGCTCAAAGGACGGGGTGGTGCAGGCAGCAGAGAAGGGGGCATGAGCCTAAAAGGGCAGTCAGAGGGAGGCTGTGTTGATGGAAATGTCCTGGGCCTTGACTGTCCCAATGTCAGCATCTGGGTTGTGATGTCCTACAATTTTGGAAGATGTCACTATTTGGAAAAACTGGGCAAAGGATACAAGGGACCTCTCTGTGCTGCTTCTTATGACTGCACATGACTCTACCATTATCCCAAAATAAAAAGCTCAATGAAAACTATTTTTAAAGTACACAAAAGGCGGTAATGTGTAATTTGGTTCAGGCAGAGCAAATCTGAATCGTGTGAGTCTGTCTAGCAAGAAACCAGCATCTGCATTTAAAAAAAAAAAATTACAAAGTGCATGGCCACCCTCAGGGAGCTCCATTAGGAAGGGGTCCAAAAGCAGAGACCAGACACTGCATTGTAAAAGATTGTGGGTTTTTTTTTCTCTTGGTTTTCTTTTTTTT